AACATCATGAAAATTAAACCTTATTTCCAATAAGCAATCCTGAAAAATATTTGGGGGTGCTTAACTTTTTTCCAGGTGTATAGTTAGTAACAACTGTGGACGAAATGTTATTGTTAATAAACCAATTAAGTTTAAGAGGCATTAGAATATCGAACAATAATTCTGCAATTATATATAACTAACTACTAATTTGCTTTCTTAACCACGCAAGTGAACTGATAATCGTATAAAAAAAAATTGGTCAAAAAAGTAGTTGAGATGTTTTCGTTGCATCAATTTAATAGAAAGAACTGTTCTTTGTTCCCAACTTTCCATAATTAAACATTTACTGAAATGCTCAGTTTAATTCTTCTAAATGTGGTGCGAAATGCTTGAAACGTACGTAAAATAAATAATTTAATTTAAATAAATGAAAAAAGATTCAGAATTATGATTGAAATAAATCCGTTAATTCTTGGTAGGTTTGAACGAGCCTAGGGTTGCTTCTGACGGATCCCCTCTACCTAGTGCACGAGAAGTCTCCGTTACAGCGTCTCCAGACGCGGACCTTCCTCACCGAAGTCTTACTTTACTTACAATGCAGTTTGCTCAGTTTCTAGACCATGATTTAACCCTAGTGGGTTTAACAAAAGGTAAGTAGATGAGCTAGGTTGGAATGTATGAAAATAATCATCACTAAAAATCTACCCTACTTTAAAAAATAAAATAAAACTATGATTTAGTGACGTATCGCTTAGCACCCCAATCTTTAAAATTAAACAAAAGGCTTCGGAAAGAGAGAGGCTAATCGTAAGATACCTTTTGAGGTTAGTTGTAATTATAGTGAGTAAGTACACTGGTAAATGATGGCAACTAGTACGTGTTCTGCAGGACGTGTCACATTGGCCATTTTTGCCCCAACCTCCTCACTTTGGTCCACTGACTTGGGAGGAAGACCAGATATACGATTGCTTTTCGAATGTTAAATGTTGTTTGCTCGATGTTCATAAGATGTACAATTATGAATGTATAAAACTTCTAGTACTTCATGTTGATTGATTTGTATTAACGTCTTCATTATATTCGTGGGATGATTTTGTACGAACTATTTATGGTTCTTTGACAAATTATGTACTCGCCCAATTATTTAAAATATTGGTTTTAACATAAATGATAATCAAGAGAAACATTAGTGTGACTAAAATTATACTAATCATTATAATTATCCACCAGCACGTGATGGCAGTGGTATAGTATGCTGCAAAGAACAGATTTTAAAGAATATCAAGCTACGCCATCCTGCATGCTTCGAGATCGCCATTTCTAGAAATGACCCCTTCTTCTCACGCTTTGGTGAAACTTGCATGGAATTTGTGAGATCTCTTCCAGCGCCCCGACCACGTTGTTCTTTTGGTGAGTTTACAGAAACTATTTTAACCCATCTAAATTTTTGGTAAACAGAAATAAAGTACCTTTTAATACTGTTTGTAAGGTGCCGCTAATAGCTTTTATTTACTTTCAACCTTGTGGTTAAGATGGTAAACTCGTGGGACGGAAGCCCAGAGTCGAACATGGCCCACTCTTAGCCGTGTGGACATTATAAGGTGAAGGCTAATCCTACTATTCATTGGTAAAGAGTAGCCTACGAGTTGGCGGTGGTTGCTGCCGGCTGGTTGCTTTTCCTTTTGTTGGCAATTCAAAATTGGAGACAGCAGCAGAAATAAAAGCAATCGAGTTTTCCTAAAAATATTACATATTTTATTTCAAATATTTCATAATATTTATCCTAAATATTGTATTTAAAATATTTCAAACCTTAAAGTGGCTTTTACTACTCTGAGTTACAACACTGATAACGATTATTATTATTATTTCCGTTAGGGCCACGCGAACAGTTAAATCAACTTACGGCTTTTATTGATGCATCTAATGTTTATGGGTCTACCGAAGAAGAGGAAAGAGACCTTCGTAGTTTCCAAAATGGTAGGTGTATGAGGTATTCTCAGGTAAGACTATTTTTACACTAGCAACAAGATGGTAGGTGTATGTGGTATTCTCAGGTAAGAATTTTTACACTAGCAACAATATGGTAGGTGTACGTGGTATTCTCGGGTAAGACAATTTTTACACTAGCAACACGATGGTAGGTGTATGTTGCTATTCTCGGGTAAGACAATTTTTACGATAGGAACAACACAGTAGGTGTATGTTGGTATTCTCGGGTAGGACAATTTTTACGCTAGGAATGAGACTGTAGGTGTATGTTGGTATTCTTGGGTAAGACAATTTTTACACTAGCAACAAGATACGTCTGTAGATTAACGAGATCTTAACAAGGTGAGTATGACCGAAGCACTAAAATGTAATGAAACTGGTTGAGTTCGTGAAAAGGAAACGGAGCGCACACAATGAACCAACGCATTGTGTGCACTTGCTTTTGATGCTGTACTCTCTTTTACTGGATCTGAAGTGTTCTTTTTCCAAATTGCACTCTGATTATTTCCACCAGACTGGCTAAATCTAACATTACGCGTTAAACCCTGTAACGTCAAACTTAACCATAGCAACTTGCTCTATCCACGTGACTAATTATCGTTTTCAAGCGTAAAAGATGCTGCAATCAGATCTACTGTTGAAAGACACTTTTATTACACACACTCGTGCACACGTTCAACTTTACAACCACACCCACCAATGGCAAACTGTGATGTAAATAGAATGACAAGGAACAAAGATAGCTAGAACAAAAACAACATAACTACTTCCTTGGCCACGTGTTACGTGAAGACTGTCTGTACATATCTAGAATAACTGACAAATTCCGATAAAATACGATATTAAAATAATAACGTAGAATATGTGCATACCATATGTCAAAGAATTATTTAACAGAGCAGTTACTGGAATTATTCAACGACATCATAACATTCCTAACGTAGCCGAAAACTATTTGGTGTTTAGCTCTTTCTAATTAACATTTAACGCTTCTGGTAACCTTTCAATGCGTATCATTTTATTCCTCCAGTTATCTAATGTGATGTGTCTAATTCTGTATTACGCGGGAAAAGGATCTAATGAGAGGCCTCGCACTCCAAGCGAGTGTTCTAATTTAGCTGAAGGCCACTTGTTAATTACTCAAACTACCACGTTAACTTTGCCTTTGCACACTGTTGTACAAGAACCTCTAACGTGCTTTGTGTATTTACTATATACTTTAATGTATTTATTTTAATCAGGTAAATTTTCAAATAAGTTTTCATGTAACTCGAAACTTTGTTCTGTGTACTCAAGGGTTGTTCGATTGAATATTATGAACAAAAATTGTTTATGCATGCATATAAACCTTTCACTGTGTTCTACGTCTGTTTATGCCCAGTTAAAGTATTAACACTTTAATTTACCTTAATATGAATTGAAATCATAAAATACTTATTATGTAACTGTCCTATTATGTAATTAATCTTGACATGTTTCTTTGCAGGCTTGTTGCGTGTTTCTAAGTTAGGGAATGTTGAACTTCTACCTAAAGAAACTGATGAGAATGCAGAATGCGAAAGAGCTCAGGCCAACTCAAACTTTCTATGTTTTAAAGCAGGTAAAAAGTAACTCCCACTATCCAGAATGTAGCAGTTGGAAAGTAATTCTTATTCGAAGGGCTTAATTTGCCCGGAGGAACTCGTGGCTGATAGTGTATTGTAGAACGTAATATGTAACACGAGCAGGGGAAGAGTGTAGAATCGAGAACTAGCACGTGCTCATTAAAAATACCCAATATCACTTGCTAATACTCATTACGTTATAATTTAGGATAAAGTGTACAATGTTTCAGT